TTGGAACTCTTCATTAGAATGGCTCGTGCAAGGTCAGACAGGAAAGGGTGCCAGAAATTAGTGCCCTGCTTCCAATAGCGTCGAAATGGTCCCCCTCTCTCTGGTAGTTCCCACAACTGGCGGAGAGGGGAGGTGAGGTAGGGGTCGAGCTTGTACGGTCCAGTCTTGACCAAGAGCGACTCGATCTCCTGCAATCTGTTTAATACCCAGAGCAAAGCACGGCCAGGAAATACGTTGGTGCAGGCCTTGGTGGCTAACACCTTTCGCAGAGGGACGTCTTGAAACTCAGGCGGTAGACCTCCCCTGCGGCCTTTAGCACGCGGATCGGACTGTGTAATACTTACCAGCTCATTCCATGCATGTGTGAACCATTCTAAGTATACCTCGTCTAATATAGACTGTAAGTGTGCTTGTTCATGTTCGCTGGCCATATATGTGTTTCCAGAATCACGCGCGCGCGTTGATATGACGTACTCGAGCTTGTTGACAAGTAGTGTGTATGAAGGAGGCTTACACACGGGCCCAACAGCTGGGGCAGGAGGGAGCTTGATATACGGCGCCATGTCACGTACATGCACATCATCAATACATTTGTCTATGCTCAATACAACAGGTAAGTGAGGACGCTTATGCCACAAAGTATTCACATACAACGTCGGGTCACATGCGTCCAAAGCACGACTTAGCACAAAGGAATCGATCGTGGAGCTGTTCCCGCCCTGGATGAGCGCGGGTGTGTCAGGCACCCTCATAACAGCACCAAATTTGTCGAGCGGCTGGTATGTTGAAACCAATTCAGCGGGCATGTTGAAGTCGCCTCCCAGGAGGAACGGCGTGCAGCTTGCGCAACCCGAGACCACACCTTATCGGGAACCCGACGATTTAAATCATTCATGTGCACCTGGTCCTGGGGATAGAGAAAACCTGGATGGCCCCGAGCTTCGAAGTTCGCAGGAAGCACCCAGATAAACGTCCAGGAAAATATTACTCTTGTCGAAGCCCCAAGAGTCCATATGTTTCCTGATGCACGCCATTGTTCCACCTGTGGCGGGGCCATTAGAATTGACAATAGCCGGTGTCGCGTACGAATGCCATCCCATTCGTAGAATGGTAGACTGCATAGAACTGAGACCTTCTGCCAGAAGCTTATGTTCCTGGAGAAGAACAACTTCACATTGTGAGTCATGTAGGAGATCCTTGCAGGTCGACCAACAGGAACCACTGAAGGTTGAGACTCTCAAACGAGCCCTGCTAAACACGCGGCGGCGGTGTGTCCAGCTCACCTCTCTCAGCCGATGGGCCTGACGGTGGCCTGCGGGGCTGAGTCTTCTTCTTGAGGTGTCTCGCAATGACCCGAGAGATCTTGGCCCCATGGGGCCCATCCAGGAGACCTTCCTGCGCGAAGGCCCCGTGTAGGCCCTGGTCATCAGCTTCCAAATCTCCTGGATCTTCTTCCATGTTTTCATCATCTGATGGTTGAAACTCAGGGGAATGACCTGGGGCGGTGTCGGGGAAAGGTCTGCCGCTCTCTCGCAGCTGCCATCGCGACATCCTCTCTCCTCCTCCTCCCACATCATCACCCCCGTTTGGCTGGGCCCTCCGCTCCTCGGTGCAGTCCGAGGGAGCCAGCAGCGTAGAGGCCATGTTGGTGGCGGCCGTGTAGACGTCAGCGGAGCTCGGGTTGATGCCAACCAACGCGGTCTGGTAGAGCTGGCCGAGGTGTTGCCTTGTCTCGTTGTCGGGCTGGCCGATGACTTATGTCCAAGCCTGAAGATTGACTCCAAGCGAATCTGGTGTAGGTAGGCCTTGATGTGAATGAAGCTTCGAGGCAGCATGCTGTCGGGCAATGTTGATGGCCTCAACTTCTTTGTCGATGGAAAGCTGAAGTTCTTTGCCTTCCAACTCGAGGGCCTCGATCTGTTCGAGGATCTTGTCCTGGCGCATCTCGTACTTGCGGATCTTGGGCTCCCTCTTTTTGATCTCTGCTTCGGTGGAACGCAGGGTCTTGCTGGCGGGAACCTGGGCTTCGCGGATGGCCCTGGCGTTGTCCAGCACACTTGACAGAACTTCTTTAGCATTCTCAGGGAGGACATCCTTGAACTTGGAGTCTGCTCCCTGGACCAACTGGTGGAGGAGCTGGATGCCTTTGCCTTTGCCACCACCCTTGACCTTGGCTCCCTCCTTGGTGCCGCCCTTCGCCCAGCTGCCGCCGAGAGGAGGGGGAGTCCCATAGCCGATCTTGGGGAGCCAGGCCTTGCAGTGGCATCACAACTTGTAGTGCGACGGATTCTTGGAACAACCGCACATACCACAAGTAACAGTAGACAGAGAACCATTCCAGATCCATCCCGACTTGCCTTTGCCTTTCCCGTCGGAAGGCATCTGGCGAGGTGTGAAAAAAGCGGATTGCTCCAGCAGGGGTTCACTGAAAGGTACCCTGGGCCAGAATGGCCGTGGGTTCGTTGGCAGGGGCGCGCCTCCCCCACGCCAAGAGGCCAAGTCTGAGCCGAACCGCTACGGACTTGAGCCAAAATGGCTACGGTCCTCCTCCACCTCCTTCTCCTCTTCATCTTCCTCCTCCTCCTCCTCCCCTCCTCCTTTTGGCGTTGACCAATCCTGAATCCTAAAATTGTGGCGCTGTTCTTCCTCCTCCTCCTCCTCCTCCTCCTCCTCCTCTTCCTCCTCCTCCTCCTTTTCCTCCGCCTCTTCTTCCTCACTATCCTGCTCCTCCTCGTCCTCCTCCTCATTCTCCTGCTGCTCCTCCTCCTCCTCCTGCTGCTCCTCCTCCTCCTCATTCTTCCGCCGCTGCTGATGCTGCTCCTCCTCCTCCTCCTTCTCCTCCTTCTCCTCCTCCTCCTCCTTCTCCTCATCCTCCTCCTCTTCTTCCTCCTCCTCCTCCTGTTCCTCCTTCTCCTCCTCCTCCTCTTTCCTCCTCCTCCTCCTCCTCCTCCTCCTCCTCCTCCTCCTCCTCCTCCTCCTCCCCCTCGGCAATAACTGCTGCTGTCTATTGGACTGCTGTAGCACTTGTAATCGGGCTGGTCTGGCAAGCATGAGGACAGAAGGAGCAAGGGCGCCAGGTCCCCGTGCGCCGTTGTGAATTTGGAAGGGAGCGATGAGGCCGCTGGGCTGCTAGCACCGACTGCCCATCAGACATCCATGCGGCTAAAGCCAACCTGCGATCCAAATGCCACTCAATCGATTGGGCGGGAATCCGAATTTCCTGAATAGCACGCTGAATGGGCTCACACGAGGCATGCTCAGACTGGGCGCCATGGGATCCCGCGCAACCTAACTTACACGGCAATTTTACGAGGCACATTCTCCGCCCCGTCGTCCGCCCGCCCACACCCTCCTGTTCCTTTTCCTCCTCTTCCTCCTCCTCCTCCTCCTCATTCTCGCTCCTCGCTCCTGGTTCCTGGCTCCTCCTGGCCCTGGTTCCTCGCTCCTCGCTCCTCGCTCCTCGCTGCTCCTGCTCCTCCTCCTCCTCCTCCTCCTCCTCCTGTTCCTCCTCCTCCTCCTCCTCCTCCTCCTCCTCCTCCTCCTCCTGCTCCTCCTCTTCCTCCTCGTCCTCCTTTCTTCGTCTCGCTCCTCGCTCATGGCTCCTGGCTCATGGTTCTTCGCTCCTCGTTCCTCGCTCCGCGCTGCTGCTGATGTTGCTGCTCCTCCTTCTCCGCCTCCTCCTCCTCGTCCTCCTAATTATCCTCCCCCCTCCTCCCCTCCTCCTTCTCCTCCTCCTCCTCCTATTCCTGCTCCTCCTCCTCCTCCTCCTCCTGCTCCTCCTCCTTCTCCTCCTCCTCCTCCTGTCTTTTTCTGTTTGGTTCCTTGCTCCTGGCTCCTGGATCCTCGCTGCATCACCTCCTCCTCCTCCTCCGCCTCCTCCTTCTCGTCCCCGTCCTCCTCCTCCGCCTCCTCCTCCGCCTTCTCCTCTTCCCTTTCCTCTTCCTCCTCCTCCCCCTCCTCCTTCTGCTCCTCCTCCTCCTCCTTCTCGCTCCTGGCTCCTGGCTCCTCGTTCCTCGCTCTTCGGTCCTCGTTCCCCGGTGTTCCTGCTCATGCTCCTGCTCCTCGTACTCCTCCTCTTGCTCCTTGTCCTCTCCCTCCTCCTCCTCACCCTCGTCATCCTCCTTCTCCTGTTCCTCATTATTCTCGCTCCTGGCTCCTGGCTCCTGGTTCCTCGCTCTTCGTTCCTCGCTCCTCGCTGCATCTGCTCCTGCTCCTGCTCCTGCTCCTGCTCCTGCTCCTGCTCCTCATCTGCCTCCTCCTCCTCCTCCTCCTCCTCCTCCTTTTCCTCCTCCCCTTCTCCTCGTATTTATCATTCTCCTCTTCCTCCTCCTCCTCCTCCTCCTCCTCCTCCTCCTCCTCCTCCTCCTCCTCCTCCTCCTCCTCCTCGTTGTCTCAACAGCGTGGACATACGGTAACCCCGGAGCGTGTCGAGCGTACGGGCAGGGCTCTCTTTTCCTCACTGACAGGAAGCGGTGCGAAGCCTAAATCACCGCGCCTAAGCCAAAGGCTTCGGAGGAGGGCAAGAGAGAGAGAGAGAGAGAGAGACGAGAGACCCAGATTCTAGGGGCTCGCTGGGCCATTTGGGAACAGCGGGCCTAACTTCAGTTGCCCGGATTCCGAAACCTCCGGCCTCCAGAAAAACTGGCACCGACTCATCTTCTGGCTCCTCCTCCTCGTCCTCTCTGCCTCCTCGGCAGCCTCCTTCCTCATCCTCTCGCTCTTTCCTAGCCTTCTCCTCACCCTCAGACACATTAGGGAGCGCCTTAGCTTCCAACCGTTTCTTGGAAGCCCCGCGAGACCTATTCTTGAGAGAGACATTAAGGACCCGCTCATCCGCGTGTCCTTCCTCATCGATAAGACACAGCGTGCCTTTGGTGAGCACGTCATGCAGCGCAGCATTCCCTCGGGTCCACATTGGCAAAGGGGTCGGCTGGCATCATGCCATGAGGAATCCATCTCACTTGCGACCCGATTCCTGCCAACGCATCTCGTACTACGGCCATCTCAACTGCGTTCCGATCGCCTAGCTCGCACTCGCGAGGCACTATCACAAAACATGGGCCCAGCGACTGGGACCAGTCGGGCACTTGAACGTCTCCGAACAGAGCATCCTTCCACATGATCTGCAACCACTGGGCTTCTGCCACGGCGCCCGAAAGGGAGAGGGCCTCTGCCGCAATCGTCGATGCAACGGTCCTCTTCCACCGCTGGGACCGCCACGCCAACAAGCTAACCCTGGCCCTGCGGTTCCCACGAACAGAACTGTCCGAGGCGAAGACCAGCCATCGGCTCTGAGCACCCCCCCGTCGAGCCGATCCCGGACCTCCAGCGTCAGACGCCGCAACGAACGCGGTGGCTATGGGGTCTACTGGCCACGCAGTGATGCATTGCAACGCAGAGGCCCTCAGGAATCTCAGCACTTTGTTCGCCATGGTGGCGTCAGAGACACAAGGATCAGGGAGCGCCGAAGCCAAGAGCGACGCACCCCCTGCCACATCGGGACGTGACTCTCGGCCGAGCCACTGAATGTGCGCCACCGTCGTCCGGCGCGACGAGATCCCCGAGGGCCACAGGAGTTCCTCGGGCTGGGCCTTTCTCGTTTTATCGAGAGCGATGGGAGTGAGTTGTTCTCTGACATACTTTTCTTGGTCCTCCGAGATCTTAGCCCCTGGACGTTGACGCAAGCGCCTTCCCGAATAATCAGCCCCCCCCCCTCCTCCCGTTTACCGAAGCGAAATCTCTCGAAAAGCCAGCTCTTCAGCTCCGGGAGCACCTCGGCTTCGCCCGACACTATGAGATCGTCTGCCCCGATCAAAATGAGCGACTGCAACTTGCCGCCCGGGGCCCTCTGCAGCCACAGGCAGGGCCCAAGCAACGATCGCTTAAAACCAAGCACGGACATATTGTCCGTCAACGTTCTGTGCCACAACAGAGGAGCATCGTTCAGCCCACGCACTGGCGCCACTAGCTCGATGGGCTGATCGCTGGAGATCCCCAACCCCGAAAACAGTTCCACATAGATCGCGCCACGAGGCCTCTCGAGTTTATTGCTCTGGCAAAACAGCGTTTTTCGCATCGGCGACTCCCAGCTTCCAGCCTTGGGTGGCCATCAGCTGCAGCGTCAGCATGCTGCTCTCTGATTGCGGGGTCGGGGCGTAGACCTGAAGGGTCTCTCCGCCAGGGCCCTGGTGGCCGCGCGCGCACCAGCGACTCTTCGCCAGCGGCTTACTTCCCACCCCGTCGGTCGGCTTGAACCGACAGACCATGCGCGATGACAAAACTCTGTCGGGGTGCCCGCGGCGAGCACCTCTCGACTCCGAGGGGGACAGGACCTTGACCGCGCCTGTAGCTGCCATGGCTTCCCGTTCCTTGGCATCTGACTCTTCAAAAAAAGCGTTCTTCCTCACTGGAAGGATGTCTCAGCTGCACCTCGGCCCCGCGGCGAAGAACGGGCGGCGCTGCCGCGCGGGCTGCCCCCGAGAAACAACCCTGAAAATCAAAACAAAAAGTCTGCCCCGAGCCTCTTATCTGGAAGAGCGTCGGAGCATTAGCGCTGTAGCCGCGAGCGGCCAACTCCTCAGAGCCCCCTCTCGCGAACAGTCCCCATTCTCCCCGACTCGCCCCTCCCCAGAGTAGGCATGACCTCGCCCTGTCGCTTGTCTCCCCGAGGCGCACCCCCGGGGGCAGGAAAGCGATTCCTCTCCCGGACCGCCTCAGCAGTCTCGGAGGAGGCTGAAGCACCCGGCGTCGCCCCAATAACTCTCGGGGCGATCGCTGAGGCTGGAGCGCCCTCGCGCTCGGCTATCATTCTCGAAACAATTGAAGATCCCTCGGGCATGTCCTCTACTCGAGTCAGCATGGGAGAGCGGGGGCCCCTGTGGGCTCGTCGCCTCGCGCTGCTCCGCGCGTCCTGGACGGCGGCGGAGCGGAGCCTGAGAGATGTGGATCACCTGGTCCCCTCACTGACACCCGAGTGGAAGACGAGCCCGCGTCTTCGGTGTCAGAATCTAGGGAGCTCGCTGCGAGCCTACGTGGACTTCAATAGGAGAATTTCCTCGACACTCAGGTTCCGACAGCTGCCTGGCCCAAGCGGAGGCCGTCGAAGCCGCGGCCCTTTCCGGGCCTCCAAAACCTGGCTGGGAACCTCCGAAGCCTCCGCGGGCGAAACCACTGGCTCCGGAACCTCGGGAACCACGGGGCGGGCCCCTGACGCCTCCTCGGGTCTTCTCCCCCTGGGCCCGTCGGCTTCTCCCGGGACACCCCAAGCCTCCGGCGGAGGCGGACCCTCCGACTCGACGCCCACGGCGCCGACGCGCTTGCCTGGCATGCGCAGCTCTTGCCTTAGCTGGTCGAACCGGGGATTGTCCAGAAGCTCGGCCCCATAGGGCCTCTGGCCTCGTCGCAGGCCTGACTCGAAAAGTCTGTGGCGCATCGCCACCCAAACGGTTCCCCGGGACTGAAACACCGCGGCCCCGGGTCCCGTCCACCTGTCTCTTTGAAGAGCGCGCGTGCGATTCGCTGCTGTGACCTTCCTCCACGCATATGCCCATTCTCCGGGCTGAAGCACTTTATCGACGTGCGTCCTGGTTCGGGCGACTACCGCCAGCCTGTCCCGAGCGTCGTGGGCCGCCAAGGCCCTGCGCGCCTCGGACCTCAGCTGATGCGCTCTCGCAAAGGCAGCGGCAGCGGTATCTGGATCGATCGCGCTCTGGCGCAGGTCGTCTACCCCCACCTCGTCGAGAGCATCATCGGATAACATGCACCTGGGGACCCTGGGATTTTCACAGTTGGCTCGGGCTGTATCCGCCCCGATGAAAACTACGATTCTTTCCCGAATTCACCTCGCTCAAGAGAAGATCGACCTCAGCTTCCGAGGTGGGTTGCGGAGGCGTGGGAAGCCCTGGGCAACGCCGTCGTCACAATGCCGCCGTGGCGCTCGCATTTTCCATTGCGATGTGGAGTTCGCCGGGGCCACCTGAAGGAATATCCCGGAATGCTCGCGCCCCCGGGCAAAACTACCCTGAAACTCCGATCCGCCGCTAATTTCAGGAAGCACGAAATGTCGCACCCATAATCGACTCAGAGCTTCCCAGACGGTCGACGAAGCATCGTCTGCTAGCAGCGCACTCTGTTGGAAGCTCGTGTCGTGATCGATCATTTTGAGCACCGGCAGACTCTCCCCCTGAAACTCAATGTAAAACAGATCTACGGCCAGCAAACGGTTGACACGGCACGCGCGAGGCAGACGTGCTTTCCTTCTTCAGTACGGACGCGCATGTGATTCGCAGTGGGGGCACCTAAACTTATCCCTAACCCAGGAGATGACCTCTGGGCGGGCTCCCGCCACCCTCAGGGCCCACGCGAAATCCCCCAGGGACGGGCGCCCAAGGTTCGCATGCAGCTTGGCCGCCTCCTGCTTCAGAGCCTCGTCGGGCTCCGTCGCTGTTCGGCCAAGTCCCGGGGCCCCAAACTCGTCGGGAAAACCGGCCACATCGGCCTCGGGACTGTCGCCAACCTCTTCCACATCCAAAACAGGAAAGGACCCCCCTCTCAGGGTCGGGCTCAGGCGGTGCCAAACTGCTGCCTCAATCCCGCTCGCCGGGGCCAGCGCCAGCCTGGAAGGGTAGTCCTCCGACTTGCGAGTCCTGGCGCTGCCGACCAAGGGCAAATTAACATGCCCTCCCTCGCACCCCCCCCGACACTTCTCAACGAATTGCCCCCGGCCGGCAATCGGCCTCGCGGGTATCTTGGAAACCGCCCCCCTCGGAAATCGACCGCCCAAAACAACGCTGGTCCAGGTCGCAGGTAACAGCCCCAGGGCGTTCCAGAAGCAGTTTCACGCTCTCCAGCTACCAGGAGCTGGCAGAGAGAGGATGCCCCACGATAAAATCTCGCCCCCCCGAAAGCTGATGAAGCGCAATCTCGCAGCAAAGACGCATGAACCTGATCCCTTTACTTTCCTCCTCCTCCCGAGCAGTCTCGCCCATGCGGCTCCAGTTGCTTTCCCTGGCGACGCTGAAGGCCTCACAGACGGGTGAGAGAGAGTCACGCGTTGAGATTGATCACGATGGATCGTCTTGCAATGTCGCTTGACCCCGACCTCTGCGTCGAGGTCCCAACCCTGTTTGACATCGACCGACGGAGACGCTTCGCACCCTCTCCCAAGAAGGACCCCCGAGACCCTCGCAGGAGAGAAGACTTCAATAATCATGGTGCCCCCTCACTCAGCCTCACTACGCTGGATTGCTTCGCGGTGCCATCCCTTCTTAGAGATCCCGGACCCGCTCAAAGTCTCGAGAGCGGCATCCCTGATGGACCTAGGGACTGTCGCGCCCACTGGGGGCTCTGCAGCGCCCTGAGAACCTCTCGCCAGGAAGGGGTCTGCCTCGACCGCGTGGAAGATCCCGAGAGTCTCCGGTTCCTTAGTGGGCGATCCAAGGTCCTGCGAACTCCTGTCTCCTGAGGGCCTGGCCCTCTGAGGCCCCCGCCCCTTAGACTCTCCGATCGCTCTAAGCTCGTGGCATCTCCTCCGCGCTGAGCCCCGCGCCTCCTAAGGCCTCCTAAGGTCCTGGCTCCCGGGTCCTCTCTGGGGCTTCCTCTTCTTGGATCCGTCCAGAGGCTCACCTCGACCTCCTTTCTCATCGGAACGCTGCTCGGCTCATCGTATGAAGTGCGCCTCCAGAGCTTATCTAGAAACACTGGTGAACCTTCGCAAACCTGGATTCAATGGACATTCGGGGGGGTGAGAGAGGGCGACGGTTCTCCCCCTGAAGTTCCCAAGGCCACTCCGACCACGAAAGCCTCGAGGTCCCGGTCTGGGGTCCCAGCTTCTTTTCGGTCCATCCGAATCCTCGGCTTGCCTCTTCGGGCGTCGCGACCCCCCCCCGGATTCGGCCCCAGATCCCCCTGAATCCAGTCACCGATTTCGGGATTTCAGGGCCCGGTCGACCCCTGCACATCTGGGCACCGAGGTCCTTCAGAACCAGATTCTCGCGATCGGGCCCCAGGGCCAGTCTTCGTGAGCTTTTCTTCTGATAGATTTCGGGCCAGCCCTCGAGAGTCATGCGCGCGGGCCTCAACCCAGCCTCGGAGCGTCGTCCTCCTCGTAGATCTGCTCGATCCCCCCTTCCATCTTCGCTGAGCGCGCCTCGGCATTGCGAAGACAGGACGCCGGCCTCATGATCTCCTGATCGCTCATCGGGCCTGCCCCCGTTCTCCTGGAGCCCCTCTGGTGTGCCACTTCCTCCTGAGTCTCGCGTAGCTGCTCTCCCAATTGATGGATGCATCTGGTCGAGGGGCGTCTTCATCTGCGCGGCGTGGAGCTCCTGAGAGGACAGAGGCCCCCCGGTCTTCGGACGTGCCGGCGGGCTCCTGCAGGCCGTCGGCGGCGGCTCGGGGACCGGCGCGCCCGGCTGCGAGAGGAGCCCCGCCGCCGAGCCTGACGCCGATGAAGCAGCCGCCCCTCGTGCTTTCGGACATGTTGGCGTGTGCGGCACCGCCTGCGCCGCCCACGGGTCTCCCTCGTTGTAGGTCTTTATGGCCCACTGCACGCTCTCCATCGCCTTCTCCTTGGCCTCCTTCTTGATCTGCTGCTGGTGCTTCTTCATCTCGGCCTCTGCCTTCTCCTCCGCCGTCTTCTCGCGCAGGGAGAGCCTCGCCCCGCGCATCCGGCAGCGCGAGCACACGCTGGCACCGTTCATGCCCAACTTCACTGCCCAAGGAGGGCGCGCGCAAGACGCCGGCTTTCCACGTTGAAGCTCGACCGCCTGCGGCCACTGACTGGCCACTCCCTGGATCGCGAAGCGCACGTCCGCGATATGGAGGAAGCGAAGAGCACATTTCCTCCACGAGAGCTGCGCGTTCGACAGGATCATCGCGCCGTCCAGGAAGTCCCGTTTGACCTGCGGCGCCATCTCCTCCGAGCTCAGATCGACGTCTCGAAGCTCGTCCAGGATCTCCTCCCAGTCCTCCAGCGGCTCGTCGCTGTCCTCGTGAATGGAAGCCAGCGCTCCCGCTGCCTCCTCGAGCCTCGTACTCGGGTGTCATCTTCGCGATTCCCTTCCAAACTATGCCCCTCCAAACTTGGTCGAGAGCCAGCCTGCGCCTCAATCTCTCGAGCCGAATGGCGTCCGGAGCGGGCATCGGAGATTAGACCCGCTGCCCCCAGACTGCCCAAGGAGCCCTCAGAGGCCCCAGCGCGGCGGAAGGAGGGGGGGCAAGTAGAGAAATCTGAAACAGCATCGCCTACCTCCTGCAACCCAGCCCCGCGCGCAATCCTGACGGCACTCCTCGGGGATCTGCCGCAGCAGGTCCTCGTGGACGCGAAACTCCTCGGGCTCGCATCCAATCAACGACATCGAGCGGCGCCCTGCTGCGCGTCGGACCAGCGGGCGCCTGACCTTGCCCTCGCTGCCCAGCGTGATCTCGTCGCACGCCAAGTCGACTACGGCGCGGAGATTGTCGAGCAGACGCGCCGGCAACAGAGGCGGGCACCTTCCCGGTAGCACGAGAAATTCGACTACTCCGCATCGCCACATACTGACCGGCACCCAGGCACGCCCGACGGGCTCAACCTCGCCGCCGACCCCACTGGCCGCCATGCCCGGCACCTCGCCGAGATTCACTCGGATGTTGAAGCCTCTCTTGAGAAGCGCGTCCTTCGTCGCTTCGAAGTCCTTCTCACCGACCAGGGACTGCGCGGCCGCCGCATCTATCAGGGCGTGGCCCCCGAGATTCCTCAAAGACAGGTCCGCCCTCTCCGCGTCGCCGGCTAGATTGTTGAAGATGGCGCTCCAATCGCTCACCGCGATCCCGGAGAAATCGGCCTCGAAGTCGACGTCGTCGTCCTCGATCATGTCTAATGAGAAGCTGGGCGGCGCTTCCTTCTTGCCACTGCCCTTCTCACTCGCCAGGCGGTCCGCCGTGGAGGGAAATGGGCGCTTGAAGAACCCCGCCCAGTGACCTCGGTTTCCGCAGTTATCGCATCTCGTGCGTTTAAGAAGGTCGCTTATCATCATCCGCTTGAATCCAAGCTGTGCCGCCCGTCTTCTGTCGAGGAAGTCCCTGTCTACTTCCTTAGCAGCCTTCATCTTTCGAGCTTCCTGCCACGTTCGGCGGCGATCCTTGCCGAGCCTGTCCTCAACCACCGCTGCAAACATCATCGTGATCTCGCTTTCTCAAATGTTCTGCTCCTCGAGCGTGGCCAGTAGGGTGTCCACGTCTTCTTCCGGCAGCTCCGCTGACTCGTCGATGTCCGAGAGGAAGGTCATCGGAGGTGGCGGAGGCTCCAGCTCGCCCGCCACCGGGGGCTCCGCGTCCTCAAGCTCGGTCTCCACGAACGACTTCACCGCTAGAGCAGACGCGCCAGGAATAATAGGACGATCACGAACGTCCATCTTGAGCAGCGCGCCTCGGATGGAAGAGAAATCTTCACAGCCTCCAGCTTGCGTCTTCAAATTAATCCTGTTTTGCCCGACAGCTGTGCTCCCTCTTCTAAGTAG